CTTGTTCAAGTGGACTGGATGTCCACAACTACTCCAAGAACCTCTCTTTATAGCAGTGCTGTGTAAATGGCTGAACGAACAAGGCACTGAACCTTGAAGAGAATGGTCCACAGCAGTGGTCTTCAAACCCCTTGGCCAAATGTAGCCCTTTACTTGCCTTTGCCATTGGGGCTTTGTTTCTTTCACTGACACCAACAATGGGGCACTGTTATTCCCACCGACACCAAAAATGGGGCACTATTGCTCCACTGGCGCCAAAGAATTCTAGCCCTTCCACTGACACCAACGATGAGGCATTATTCCTCCCACTGACACCAACACAATGGGGTACTATTCTCCCACTGACAACAATCACTGGGCACTATTCTCCCACTGACACCAAGGACTGGGCACTATTCCTCCCACTGCACAACAACGATGGGGTACTATTCTCCCACTGACACCAATAAAAGGACACTATTCCTCCCATTGACATCAACAATGGGGCACTATTCCTCCCTCTGACACCAAAAATGGGGTACTATTCTCCCACTGACACCAATAATGGAACACTATTCTCCCACTGACACCAAGCATGGGGCTATTTCTCTCACTGACACCAATAATGAGGCACTATTCCTCCAGTTACACAAATGATGGGGCACTATTCCTCCCACTGATAACAATCATTGGGCTCTATTCTCCCATTGACACCAAGGACGGGGTACTATTCTTCCCACTGACAACAACGACGAGGTACTATTTTCCCACTGACACCAATAATGGCATACTATTCTCCCACTGACACCAAGGATAGGGCTATTCCCTCCCACTGACACCAATAATGAGGCAGTATTCCTCCAGTTACACTATTGATGGGGCACTGTTCCTCCCTCTGACACCAAAGATGGGGTACTATTCTCCCACTGATAACAATCATTGGGGATCGATTCTCCCACTGACACCAAGGATGGGGCACTATTCCTCCCGCTGACAATGATGGCGTACTGTTCTTCCACTGAAACCAAGGATAGGGCTATTCCTCCCACTGACACCAATAATGAGGCACTGTTCCTCCAGGGACACCAATGATGGGGCACTTTTCCTCCCTCTGACACCAACAATGGGGTACTATTCTCCCACTGATAACATTTATTGGGCTCTATTCTACCACTGACACCAAGGATGGGGCACTATTCCTCCCACTGACAACGATGGGGTACTATTCTCCCACTGACATCAAGGATAGGGCTATTCCTCCCACTGACACCAATAATGAGGCACTGTTCCTCCCACTGACACCAATAATGAGGCACTGTTCCTCCAGGGACACTAATGACAGGGCACTTTTCCTACCTCTGACACCAATGATGGGGCACCTTTCCCCCCACAGACACTAATGATGGGGCACTGTTCCTCCTTTGAATACCAACAATGATGGGGCATTGTTTTCTCCCACTGACCACAGTCCAACCCCCCTAAAGCCTGCAGGGCAATAAGCTGCCCTTTTGTTTGGAAATTTTGGAGACCTCTGGCCTATAGCATCAGAAGACCGGGTTCCTCTCCTGCCAGCTAAGAGAAAGAAAATGAGAACACGAGGTCAGCGAAAACATTGTCAGTGATATGTCTTTATTTTGGCTCCACCATACAGCTTGATGGTCAACTTGGAGCACACAGCAGAAAGGCTCTGGGATAAGGTGGACCAGGAGGTTGGTGATTTTGGACCCAATGTGCAGCATGCTTTTGTCATCAGTTTGAGGAGGTTTACAATTATTCAAAATTAGTTTCAGGTCTATCTGACCTGCAGTTGACCTGCGTCAAGCTGCTTTCCCATAGACTTGTATGGGGAAAGAAGAGGCTCTCATGCCGACCAAATGTCATCGACACTGGCCCTAAGTCTTGCCATCAACAAGCTGGACGTGAGGAACATTTTGACTCCCATACGCCATTGACAATTATCATGCATGTGATGTTTTGGGTTTAGAATTTTAACAAATTTACCTTAATCTTCATCCACAAGTCTAACCTTTGACCCCCAACTAAAAAGAACCTTCAACCAAACTCCTAAACCTCGGCCTAACACCCAATCCTAACCCCTCAATCTAAATGAACCCATACCGCCTGACCATAGACCTCAATCAAACCCTTCATTTCAATTCCGAACCAATCAGAGGTCAGCAACCTTTTCCACATCCAGGGGGTCTTTTTATATAGGCTTTCACACAAGATGCCCACAGATTTCTTCTGGTTTTTGTATTTGGGTTCAATCCATGAAGAACGTTGCGTTAAACCCGTTATAAATAGACCCCTTAATGTCAATCAGCATTGGTCAACCAGTCTACTGGCAAACAACAGGGTGCTGTAGACCTAAGATCAGCCCAAAATCCTGCACCTTCAGGCCTAAGATCTCTCCCAGTTCCTGGACCTTCACACTTTGAGTCACTTCCAGTTCCTTCACCATCAGGGGTCAGCAACCTTTTCCACATCAAGGGGGTCTGTTTATATAGGCTTTCACACAAGATGCCCACAGATTTCTTCTGGTTTTTGTATTTGGGTTCAATCCATGAAGAACGTTGCGTTAAACCCGTTATAAATAGACCCCTTAATGTCAATCAGCATTGGTCAACCAGTCTATTGGCAAACAACAGGGTGCTGTAGACCTAAGATCAGCCCAAAATCCTGCACCTTCAGGCCTAAGATCTCTCCCAGTTCCTGGACCTTCACACTTTGAGTCACTTCCAGTTTCCTTCACCATCAGGGGTCAGCAACCTTTTCCACATCAAGGGGTCTGTTTATATAGGCTTTCACACAAGATGCCCACAGATTTCTTCTGTTTTTGTATTTGGGTTCAATCCATGACGAAAGTTGCGTTAAAACCGTTATAAATAGACCCCTTAATGTCAATCAGCATTGGTCAACCAGTCTACTGGCAAACAACAGGGCGGTGTAGATCTAAGATCAGCCCCAAATCCTGCACCTTCAGGCCTAAGATCTCTCCCAGTTCCTGGACCTTCACACTTTGAGTCACTTCCAATTTCTTCAACAGCAGAATCTCAGGATTTATATTACATTTATACCTGCAGCAAATGGTGGTTCCAGTAGGATGAGGAAGAGGGTAGGTGGTTGGCTGTAGGCATGCTTATGATGGTGGTTTGAGGAGAACCACCAATGTAAGGAGCATTTTTCTTATTGACCACAAATGTAAGGAGAATTCTTCCCATTGACCACCAACGTAAGGAACATTCTTCCCATTGACCACCAATGTAAGGAGCTTTTTTCCCACTGATCACCATTGTAAGGAGCATTCTTCTAATTCTTCATTCTTCAATAGAGTTCCATCATTGGTGTCAGTGGGAGGAATAGTGCCCCATCATTGGTGCCAGAGGGAGGAATAGTGTCCCATCATTGGTGTCAGTGAGAGGAATAGTGCCCCATCATTGGTGTCAGTGGGAGGAATAGTGCCCCATCATTGGTGTCAGTGGGATGAATAGTGCCCCATCATTGGTATCAGTGAGAGGAATAGTGCCCCATCATTGGTGTCAGTGGGATGAATAGTGCCTCATCATTGGTATCAGTGAGAGGAATAGTGCCCCATCATTGGTATCAGTGGGAGGAATAGTTCCCAATCATTTGTGCCAGTGGGAGGAATAGTGTCCCATCATTGGTGTCAGTGGGAGGAATAGTGTCCCATCATTGGTATCAGTGGGATGAATAGAGTCCCATCATTGGTATCAGTGGGATGAATAGTGCCCCATCACTGGTGTCAGTGGGAGGAATAATGCCCCATCATTGGTATCAGTGGGAGGAATAGTTTTTCATCATTGGTGTCAGTGGGAGGAATAGTGCCCTATCATTGGTGTCAGTGGGGGGAATAGTGCCCCATCATTGGTGTCAGTGGGATGAATAGTGCCCCATCATTGGTATCAGTGAGAGGAATAGTGCCCCATCATTGGTGTCAGTGGGATGAATAGTGCCTCATCATTGGTATCAGTGGGAGGAATAGTTCCCAATCATTTGTGCCAGTGGGAGGAATAGTGTCCCATCATTGGTGTCAGTGGGAGGAATAGTGTCCCATCATTGGTGTCAGTGGGATGAATAGTGCCCCATCATTGGTATCAGTGAGAGGAATAGTGTCCCATCATTGGTGTCAGTGGGAGGAATAGTGCCCCATCATTGGTGTCAGTGGGATGAATAGTGCCCCATCATTGGTATCAGTGAGAGGAATAGTGCCCCATCATTGGTGTCAGTGGGATGAATAGTGCCTCATCATTGGTATCAGTGGGAGGAATAGTTCCCAATCATTTGTGCCAGTGGGAGGAATAGTGTCCCATCATTGGTGTCAGTGGGAGGAATAGTGCCCCATCATTGGTATCAGTGGGATGAATAGTGCCCCATCACTGGTGTCAGTGGGAGGAATAATGCCCCATCATTGGTATCAGTGGGAGGAATAGTTTTTCATCATTGGTGTCAGTGGGAGGAATAGTGCCCTATCATTGGTGTCAGTGGGGGGAATAGTGCCCCATCATTGGTGTCAGCGGGAGGAATAGTGCCCCATCATTGGTGTCAATGGGAGGAATAGTGGCCCATCAATGGTTTTAGTGGGAGGAATAGTGCCCTGTCATTGGTGTCAGTGGAAGGAATAGTGCCCTATCATTGGTATCAGTGGGAGGAATAGTACCCCATCATTGGTATTAGTGGGAGGAATAGTGCCCCATCATTGGTGTCAGTGGGAGGAATAGTGCCCCATCATTGATGTCAGTGGGAGGAATAGTGCCCCATCATTGGTATCAGTGGGAGGAATAGTGCCCCATCATTGGTGTCAGTGGGAGGAATAGTGCCTCATCATTGGTGTCAGTGGGAGGAATAGTGCCCCATCATTGATGTCAGTGGGAGGAATAGTGCCCCATCATTGGTATCAGTGGGAAGAATAGTGCCCCATCATTGGTGTCAGTGGGAGGAATAGTGCCCCATCATTGGTGTCAGTGGGAGGAATAGTACCCCATCATTGGTGTAAAGTAAATGATGATAATCGTACCCAGCAGGTCTTTTCTAGTGATGTGGTCACACACCATACGGGCCTCGTTGAGGATCTGGAGGACGTGGCCTGAATCATAACACTGGCTTTGTAGCATATTATTTGCCACCTCATTGAGAGCCACGGCTGCCACATCCAGCCTCTGAGCCTCCATGTAAGAGTCCGCGGCTTCCTGGAAGCATTGGGCAGCCCTGGTCAGGTCTTCATCATCCCCAGGTAGCAGTACCCCATCTTCATGTGGGCGTCCCCCTCATTCCCCCGCTGCGAGGGCTTGTACAGGATGATGGCTTTCCTAAAATATTCCAGAGCTTTGGGCAAGTCCAGCATGGCTTCGTAAGCCGTGCCGAGGTTAAAGTAGAGATCCCCCGTGGGCTCCTCTTCTCCATCCTTTGGCTGGGACTTAAGAAGGAACTCCAGTCCTTTTTCTGGTTTGCCGCTTTCCACGTACACGGCCCCCAGGTTGAAGGCGCAGGCCCTCTGAACCGTCTTCATCTTGGTGCCCAGAGACAGAAGGAAAGCCCTCTTGAAGCAGGTCATGGCCACCTGGAGGTCTCCAGAGGTCAGGGCCTTGTGCCCAGATTTGGTCAAGTCCTCGATTTCTGCCTGAGAGCTCAGTGGGTCCTCCTCGTTATTCCCATCTGTCCCTTCTGAAGTATTCATATCGTCTTTCAATTTCTTCTTTTTCTTTTTAACCGTACGAGGCTCTGGGTGGCCCAGAATCCTCTGGGCTTGACTGTTGCTCTGTCTGCAGGTCTCCAGAAGCCATCGCTGAGGGTTCGAGAGAGACACTCTGGGGAGAGAGAGAGATTGAAACAAATAACATCGGAGATCGAACATCGTCACACAGCTATGGTCACCTTCCTCCGTAAGTTAGTCCAAACTAGGGGCGGACTGACCATTTGGAAACTCGGGAACTCGGGCACGGGGTCAGTAGGGGGCCCCATGAGATGCCCCTGGTACCTCTTTCATAGGCTTTTTTGAGTTTGGGCAAGGACACAGGGGCCCCATGATCCCCTATTGCCTGGGAGCCCCATGATTTGTCAGTCCGCCCCTGGTCCAAACATCTAACCAAACCCCCCAAATCCCACACCCTCACTGACCCATTTCTTGTAGGGCTTTATCTCTTCTCCCCCCTCTCCAAGCTTTTCGCTGAAGTCAGTTTTTAACCCGTATCAAAAACCATCGATATTCTAAGGGGACAAAAACACGCTTGTGTATTGACTTTACCAAGTCCTGTACAGCAGAGCTCAGTCTGGAAGAGGGAGAAGCCATACAAGGTGCTAATCAGCCATGCTCCCCATACGGAAGAGAAATATATTTCCAATATATTTAGAAAAAAAAAATTATACATGCGACATATATTTACAATATATTGGTCTACAGGAATATATTTTAACACGTATTCCAAAAATGTGAATTAAAATATATTTTGCAAAGGCATCTATTTAAAAATCTGTGCAAAGCTTCATAAATTATATCAGTGACTAGCTTTCCTGCGCTTTTAGCTCACGGTGACCCTGCATTGCAGCGCACATAAAGCGCGATGATCGATCGGACCCCTGACGCAACGCGCTGGCATTATGAGCTTCATAGATTATATTCGGTAACTAGTTTTCCTGCGCTTTTTATCACCCGCATTGAAGCGCACATAAAGCGTGATGGCGTGATTGGACCCTTACACAACGCACTGATGTGAATAGCTTCTTAGATGATATCGCTAGCTAGTTTTCTTGTGCTTTTAGCACGCATTAAAGTGCACATAAAGCGCGATGGCACAATTGGACCCTAACGCAACACCCTGATGTGGACAGCTTCATAGATTATGATGGTAATTAGTTTTCATGTACTTTTCGTACGCAAAGGCGCGATCAGACTGTTACGCAACACGCTGATGTGAACAGCTTCATAGATTATATCGGTAACTAGTTTTCCTGCGCTTTTATCACCCGCATTGAAGCGCACATAAAGCACGGTGGCGCGATCGGATCCCTAACGCAACGCGCTGATGGGAACAGCTTCATAGAGTAGAATGGTAACTAGTTTTCCACAGAACCCTGCACTGTAGCGCACCTAAAGTGCGATGGCGCGTTTGGACCCTTACGCAAACACGCTGATGTAAACAGCTTCATAGATTATAATGGTAACTAGTTTTCCTGTGTTTTTATCGCGCACATTGAAGTGCACATAAAGCGCGATGGCGCGATTGGACCCTAACGCAACGCGCTGATGTGAACAGCTTCTTAGATGATATCGCTAGCTAGTTTTCCTGTGCTTTTAGCACGCACATTGAAGCGCACATAAAGCGCAATGGTGTGATCGGACCCCTCATCACACCATTGCGGAGTAGAGTAGAATAGTAACTAGTTTTCTTGTGCTTTTAGCTCACGGTGACCCTGCATTGAAGCGCACATAAAGCGCGATGGCGTGATCGGACCCTAACGCAATGTGCTGATGTAAACAGCTTCTTAGATGATAGCGCTAGCTAGTTTTTCTGTGTTTTTATCACCTGCACTGTAGCGCATCTAAAACGCGATGGCGTGATCGGACCCTAACGCAAGGCGCTGATGTGAACAGCTTCTTAGATGATATCGCTAGCTAGTTTCCCTGTGCTTTTAGCAAGCACATTGAAGTGCACATAAAACGTGATGGCTCGATCGGACCCTAACGCAACGCACTGATGAGAATAGCTTCTACTGTAGATTATATATCCTGTGCTTTTAGCACGTGGTGACCCTGCATTGTAGCGCACATAAAACGCGATGGCGCGATCAGACCCTTACGCAACGCGCTGATGTGAAGAGCTTCATAGATTATATCAGTAACCAGTTTTCCTGCGCTTTTATCACAGGCATTGAAGCGCACATAAAGCGCGGTGGCGTGATTGGACCCTATCCAAATGCACTGATGTGAACAGCTTCATAGATTATCATGGTAACTAGTTTTCCTGTACTTTTATCACCCGCTTTGAAGCGCACATAAAATGTGATAGCGCGATCGGACCCCTAACGCAACGTGCTGGTGTGAACAGCTTCTTAGATGATATCGCTAGCTAGTTTCCTTGTGCTTTTAGCACGCATAAAAGTGCACATAAAGCGCGATGGCACAATTGGACCCTAACGCAACACCCTGATGTGGACAGCTTCATAGATTATGATGGTAATTAGTTTTCATGTACTTTTCGTACGCAAAGGCGCGATCAGACTTTTACGCAACACGCTGATGTGAACAGCTTCATAGATTATATCGGTAACTAGTTTTCCTGCGCTTTTATCACCCGCATTGAAGCGCACATAAAGCACGGTGGCGCGATCGGATCCCTAACGCAACGCGCTGATGGGAACAGCTTCATAGAGTAGAATGGTAACTAGTTTTCCACAGAACCCTGCACTGTAGCGCACCTAAAGTGCGATGGCGCGTTTGGACCCTTACGCAACACGCTGATGTAAACAGCTTCATAGATTATAATGGTAACTAGTTTTCCTGTGTTTTTATCGCGCACATTGAAGTGCACATAAAGCGCGATGGCGCGATTGGACCCTAACGCAACGCGCTGATGTGAACAGCTTCTTAGATGATATCGCTAGCTAGTTTTCCTGTGCTTTTAGCACGCACATTGAAGCGCACATAAACGATTGAAGCGCACATAAAGCGCGATGGCGTGATCGGACCCTAACGCAATGTGCTGTGCTGATGTAAACAGCTTCTTAGATGATAGCGCTAGCTAGTTTTTCTGTGCTTTTATCACCTGCACTGTAGCACATCTAAAACGCGATGGCGTGATCGGACCCTAACGCAAGGCGCTGATGTGAACAGCTTCTTAGATGATATCGCTAGCTAGTTTCCCTGTGCTTTTAGCAAGCACATTGAAGTGCACATAAAACGTGATGGCTCGATCGGACCCTAACGCAACGCACTGATGAGAATAGCTTCTACTGTAGATTATATATCCTGTGCTTTTAGCACGTGGTGACCCTGCATTGTAGCGCACATAAAACGCGATGGCGCGATCAGACCCTTACGCAACGCGCTGATGTGAAGAGCTTCATAGATTATATCAGTAACCAGTTTTCCTGCGCTTTTATCACAGGCATTGAAGCGCACATAAAGCGCGGTGGCGTGATTGGACCCTATCCAAATGCACTGATGTGAACAGCTTCATAGATTATCATGGTAACTAGTTTTCCTGTACTTTTATCACCCGCTTTGAAGCGCACATAAAATGTGATAGCGCGATCGGACCCCTAACGCAACGTGCTGGTGTGAACAGCTTCTTAGATGATATCGCTAGCTAGTTTCCTTGTGCTTTTAGCACGCATAAAAGTGCACATAAAGCGCGATGGCACAATTGGACCCTAACGCAACACCCTGATGTGGACAGCTTCATAGATTATGATGGTAATTAGTTTTCATGTACTTTTCGTACGCAAAGGCGCGATCAGACTTTTACGCAACACGCTGATGTGAACAGCTTCATAGATTATATCGGTAACTAGTTTTCCTGCGCTTTTATCACCCGCATTGAAGCGCACATAAAGCACGGTGGCGCGATCGGATCCCTAACGCAACGCGCTGATGGGAACAGCTTCATAGAGTAGAATGGTAACTAGTTTTCCACAGAACCCTGCACTGTAGCGCACCTAAAGTGCGATGGCGCGTTTGGACCCTTACGCAACACGCTGATGTAAACAGCTTCATAGATTATAATGGTAACTAGTTTTCCTGTGTTTTTATCGCGCACATTGAAGTGCACATAAAGCGCGATGGCGCGATTGGACCCTAACGCAACGCGCTGATGTGAACAGCTTCTTAGATGATATCGCTAGCTAGTTTTCCTGTGCTTTTAGCACGCACATTGAAGCGCACATAAAGCGCGATGGCGTGATCGGACCCTAACGCAATGTGCTGATGTAAACAGCTTCTTAGATGATAGCACTAGCTAGTTTTTCTGTGCTTTTATCACCTGCACTGTAGCACATCTAAAACGCGATGGCGTGATCGGACCCTAACGCAAGGCGCTGATGTGAACAGCTTCTTAGATGATATCACTAGCTAGTTTCCCTGTGCTTT